AGAGGCACCAGAGAAAAAGCCCTTACCTTGTCAGCAAAGTGCTTGATGATAAAAGCCTTATTTGACAAACGTGGTTTTTCAAAGAGGGCACATTTATTCAAATGAGTATTGTATAGTTTTTGGGCCCAAGTGTCATCCGAGCCTTTTGGCATCTACAGAAGAGAACACACAACCATTTAAAATGTCTTGAAAACTTTTCAGTAGCAAAAGAAACTAAAAAGATGGGGGACCACACTTTGTGGTTTGCTTTCAAACTCCAGCTCCTCGAATTTCCAGCACTGCCATAAGCAAGGAAGCTGGTAGCCAGCTATGTACTTGCATTTCCAATACCCTGGACTGGGTGCAGCCCAGCAGCAGGTATAGCTGCTGTGTGACACATACAACGCTAGTAACGCTTCCAGTGTCACACGCCTGAAGGCAGGGATCCAAGAGGCATGTTATCTGACTGAGCAGTGTCTCAGAACTCATCCACCACCATTAGAGATTACTTGTGATGCTTTGTGATACACAAGAACCCCAAGCTGGGTTTCCACTGAAGTAGACACCACGCGCCATCCCCTGTACGTGGCTTGGCATAAATTAAACTAAGATAAAAGACAAAAGGTGAGACACCAAGCAAGAGGTAATTTGGAGAAATCTGACAGGACCCTGCACTTGCTACACTCAGGAAAGAGAAAGTTGCCAGAGTCAAACCAAAGGTTGATCAGAGACCCAGAAACAGATACAGGCACTTGATGGAGAGGAGGGGAAAAAAAAAGCATGACTAAATCAATTTTTTCGCCTCCTGTAATTGCCAATTCTGTTTGTATGTTCTCCAAATCCTTTCAACAGCAGTGTCAAAATGATGGCTGCCCACAGATGACTTTTCCCTGCGAGGCCCCAGAAGCAGGACGGCTGATGACCTCTTTCTCTATGAAAGCCCCTGAATGCACACCTTGCACTCCTCATCCAACAGATCCAGAATTCCCATTTTGGCCTCTATGAGGTTGATGCAAGGCTGATTGTCATAGAAATCAATCAAGGTCCATGGTATTTGTTCTTTCATATATTCTTCTTGTTCCAGCTTGAAGACATGCTACAGGGCAAAAAGAAACAGTTTTCTGTGAAATAAAATGCAGAATAAATACATAAACTCTCACTTGAATTCTTCTCGGCACATTAATCCAGGCTGCCAAGTGACACACTAGTTCAACTGAATAAACCCTTTTAACAAGTGAGTGCATGAAAAAGAAATTAACCTTTTTTCCTGGCCTAAAAACAACAGACTAAATTAAAGCACTCATCCATATTCTCTGCAAATAAGGTCTATTTTTTCCTATCTTTTTACTGTATTGTCCCACAATCACTATAAGCTCTTTTCTCTTATAAAAAAAAAACAAACCACAAAATCCAGAAAAAGCCTCAAGTGCAGGAACAGCAACTTATAAAGTGGGATGTGCTATGCATTTTGATTTTGAAGTTATGAATACTGCTCTATTTCAAGTAAAATTTCACTATAAATACTTTTGCGTTTCCTTGTAAAAGAACAGACCTCCATTTTCTCTTAAATGGCTGATGATTTTTTTTCTAAGATGACGCATTGCATTAAAATACACTCTTCCGCAAAAACCTGCAAGAATGACTCTAGGAGTATTAGCACAAGAAATCCCTTAAGCAAAATTTTGTGGAAGATTTATCTGGTATGAAGATCAATAACAATGTAGCTGTATATTTATTCAAAAATATTATCACAAAAAAACCTGCATAGCTTTAATGAAATGTGCATAGGAGATGAATTAGAACTTCAGGGAAAAAAGCTAAGATATTAAACAGGCAAACTGTGGTCTTAATAGCACAAGCACTTCTTTTAAAAACAAAAAGACTGCTGACTCCAGTTATTTTAAATGACGTTTTAGCTCCCATTTAAATTTTAATGCCTAGGAACTGCTCTGGCAGGCAGAGCTGAGCTCGGCCGTACCCTGGCAGCAGCAAAGGGCTGTGCTGTGGGCAGGCCTGGGGGCCACAGACTCCTGCCCTCCTGGGGCGGCCCCAGTGGCCCCCTGAGCTGAGAGCAAAGCCCACCAACGCCTCGCAGCTCTCTGGCACACAGGCAGCAGGAAACTGCCCTGACAAAGCAGTTTATGCCTTTTATTTCATTAGCTTAACGCCATCCTTTCCGAAGCAGCACTCCTTAACGGAGCCCGCAGGAGCCGTTCCCACCCCACCACTTAGCGGCTGCGTTCCACGCCGAGTTAATTCTTGACAGGAAAGCCAATGGGTAGCGTTTCATTGGCGAGTCATATCCAACCTAAGTCCTGAAAGAAAACATCAAACCACTTCTCCACTGTAAAGGAATTAGCAATTACATGGTGAAAAATGTCTTCAGACCTAATTTTCCTTAGGGGCTGTGGGTGGCCAGGCATGGGGAGGGTGGCCGGGTAGGCCGGGCAGGCCGCGGAGGTGCGAGAAGCAGCCCGGCAGTGCCTAAGCCGCCTGCCCTCAGCCGGGCGCCACGTGAAGGCAGCCTGGCTGCCGCCACAGGCACAGGGCTTTCATTTAAAACAACTTCCACACCGGGTACCTGCATGGCAGCCCAATGGGTCCGTGTCCACCAGTGCTGGGTTTGGTAGTTTGGTGGGGCCATCAACACCAAAGCCCTGTCACCTGTGCTGAGACGAGTGCTTATAGCAACAGCACGAGAGGGAAGGGAACATGGGGATGGTGATCTTTACTAAAGAAGCGAACCCTTCCAATTCTTACACTGACTAGATTTTTGTTGTATTGCTGAGAAAACTCTGAGATACCTTGTGTTTAGCAGCTGTGGCATCCTGCTAATGGAGCTGAAGCCAGCCATGGCACTGCCAGCCATGGCTCTACCAGCATGGAAAGGGCTCGCCGGGGCTGGAAAGCCCAGCCTCTGCTCCAGCACCCGGCTTACTCCCCGGCAAACATGCCTGCCGCCGGGATAACAACGGTGCGGGGAGATCCAGTCCTGCAAGCATGCTCCGCCATGGAAGTATGCTCGTAAAGAGAGTTCAAAGCTATTCCTGTACTGCAGCACAGCTTAGCAACAGACCTGGCATAAATAACTTGCCTCATCATTATGCAGGTAAGATATATAATTACAAACGTCACTAAGGCTGAGGAGAGCGAGCGAGAGAATCGTGATCTCTCTGGAGGAGGGAGAAGAGGCTCCTCTTGCCACACGTCAACCATCAGCTTCAGGCCGAGGCTGAAAACCCTCAAAAAATAACGCCAGGAGAGGAAGCATGGGTGGCAGAATCCCAGCGGCAAAGCCCTGCTCGCTGCTGCCCGTGCAGAGGTTATGGAGACATGGCTAACTCCAACTTCATCTACACAGTGCTGTCATTGACAGGCAATCTCCAGGTCTTAATTGCCAAGCACTGCTTCTGTCTTATAATTGTTACTGTGATCGGAATTTCAAATAGTCCCAGAGCAGCAGTTAGTCATAAAATCTATTTCTAGGACATAGTCGCTCTTTCCCCATCCCCCAAAGCCCACGGCCAGGACAGTTGGTTAATAGACTGAAGGAATTCATTGTAACCACTGGGGACCCAATTAGCAGAATGGGCTTGGGTGAGAGGAAAGGGAAGAGGAAATGCCAGCCATTTCCTACTTACCATATTGAACTGCTGCTGCAGCTTTTCATTGGCATAGTTGATACAGAACTGTTCAAAGCTGTTGATTTCGAATGTCTCAAATCTAAAATATGCAGATACTCAAAATTACTAGCGCAGTGAAAAAAAACAGATTAAATGACCACATAGTTGCAAATTCCCGCCCTCCGGTCAAATTAATTGCATTATTCATTCCAGTCACAAACAACCAACGAAGCACACAGGGAAATGGCAAAATGCAGCACATGGGCAATTCAGTGATGCTCCCTCTTTAGGCAGGGATGAGAACACAGGGAAGGGACTGATGTTCCTGGAGAGCATGGTAGTTATCTTTGTCCTCTCTAGAAGTGCCACCCTGGAGGAACAACAAGATGACAGCTCCCTTGTAACTTTCCCCAGTGCAACACATAAAGAACTACCAACAGCAAAATGTCAAACCTGAAAGTCAAGACAAAGATCTTAGCGTGTCAAAACTAAACACCTACTTCCTTCAACTTGAATAAGCAGCTGCTAAGGGTTTGGGGGTTTTTTGAATAATCCACACAGCATTATGTGACAAAGACAAAGATGCTTTGCAGTAAGATTATTCCATAAAAGGTGTCATATCTCTGACAAAAAGACTCACCCATAGATGTCCAACACTCCAATGAAAGAATGCTGTTTTACAGTAGCATGAAGGGCTTTGTTCACATGATCTACAATCCAGTTAAAGAGATTAGCATAGATATGTTTGGCCAGTGCATCTCTGGCATTGATGGCATGAAGTTTAGAAATTGGCTTGATGTAGGTTTCGGTGGCAGTCGCGAGCTTCCTATGGCAAAGCCAGTGGGCCATCTCTTCATACTCCACACCCATGAGGTCACAGAAGATGGTGAGGGGTTCATGCTTGGGCTAATAAAAACAATCTCGTTAGGCCTTGAAAAACCATTACCAATAGCACACATGCAATCATGCAGTCAGAAGAACTGCCTGCCTGCAGTGTTCCAACGATAAGCAGCAACAGCAGCTTCCTCAGCTCTTCCTCCTTCAAAAGTTAACAAGTTCCCTACCCAATTATCACATTCACATTGCTGAAGTAAATTAGTGAATCATGGTTTCCCCAAAGGCATTTTACTGTACTTGTGTTCACCAAAAAGCCCCACACAGGGAACCTGCAACCTTCACAAAAATGAATCACCTAGCTTTGCAGGGATGGGCTTGGTATTTTGAATTCTTGCAAGTCACTCAGTTTTGAGTGAAGAAGCTAGAGAAGTGCAGGGGACAGTACATCAGCTGTGTGCTGGGGACAGAATGGACTACAGCTCCTGAGTGCTGCTCTCGTCTGCTCATATACATCCATGGCAGGGAGTGACAGGCAATGGGGCATCACAGCCCAAGCCAAGAACAAAGAGGAAAAAGTGTGGAAGGGCTTTGGTGCCCTGGCCTCCATATTTAACATAATATTTTCTCAGTGAATTCTGGAGACAAACATTAAGAGATTGGAATACACAAATGACGTTCTCTAACTCTCAAATTGGACTGCACAAGTGAAAAATTCCAGATCTTTGTTTAACCAGGTAAAATCAACTAGCAAGGCTTGCACTCTGAGATGGGTATATAAGATTTCTGCATAAAAATCCATGCAGCACATTCACCACTCAGTGAGTTAAGATACTACACCTTGTGACTAATAGGCAAACCGATAGCTAGAAATCAAGGAGGACAGACAGGTCTTTCCTCCTAAGGAACTCCCCTAACACTGCTTCCTCATCACGTTCACTTTGCACCCGGTGCCCTAACAGCACGCTGGCAAGCAGCGTCTTGACAAGGACAGATTACAGGGGGCTGTTACTACACGCCCAGTAGCTTCATCAACTTTATCTTTCTATTTCTACGTCCTTCTGACTTCTCTGGGGCTTCTTCCAGTCTTTACAGCATACAGGTCCCATGGCAGTGCTGTTACACCTCCAAAATCCAGTTAACTGCAGAGCATGTCTTCTTTCAGTTTAGCCATACCACTTTAACTGGCTCAGAAGACAATAAAAAGATACTAATAATAATGAACACTGCACAAAAGAGTGTCACATCAGGGTTATTCAAGCTGACATCAAACAAACTGATTCATTCACACAGCACCATGCAGAGCCCTTCGCTGAGCTCCCTGAAGCACCACCATTGCATCACCGTGCCAGCGCTTCCCAGGCAGACCAGTCTGCATGGTGACAGAGCTCTGCAATGACATGGCTATTGTCAGAGAGCAGCATGGCTCAGGTAGCGGATGCCGTTGAACAGACATTCACCGCCACCTGCTAGATGTTTACCACGTCCGGATAGGATTGCACAGGAACTTGCGGCTTTGTACTAGCTCATTCAGTGGGATTCCTGCACCGGAGATACCCATTACAACACAGGCTAGCTCATCATGTCCTGAGGCTCATCAGCTTTCTACCTGTGATCATTAAACGATGCTTTCTTTGTAGAGAAAACCTTTTTAAGACACACCAAAGAGCCAGCCTATCACCATGGTTTCACAGCAGCTATCCATTAGATCCCACAGACGGATGGTGTCAGCCCAGGCACACTGATCACCCGTGGCCTGGTGAAGGATCTGTTGTCTCAGCTCCAGAAACTGGTACTGCAGACTCTTGAGAAAGCGACTGACAGTAAAATGAGAAAAAACCCCTGCAACTGTTGCTACTATTTGAAGAGAGAGAAAGATGAAGGCTGTGTAGTCCAGCAATAGACATTAAAAGAAAGGCAGAAGGAGAAACTGGTCACTTGTGAATCCAAGGCAGAGAAGAGTGACAAGCCAGATCTTTTTTGTTTCTCATCTCCAGAATATGGACTTCAGTAAGAAGCCTTGGTCCTCATTGAATGAGGAGGGTTTTTTCAGATCAGACTACGCAGTCCTCGCTGCTGACCTCCACAAAGGTAAAAAAGGACTGATAAAACACAACACTTATGATGAGTCACATAAGTCATATCTGTATACCCTATGCTCATGTCTAGACATCCCAAAGGACTTTGCGAAGCATTTGCTTTGCAATTATTTAGGCCATTTTAGCATTTAACATTAAAAAAAAAATACCCTGCAAAGCACTTACTGTGGGCAGGGAATGTGTTCATGCAGGAAAATATAAAGATCTAGACACCTGCCCAGGACTTCAAAGCTAGCCTGTCTGGTAGACTTCTCTAGGACAGATCAATCTGAAGTGAAATTAAGGCAGCCACTATGATAATACAGAGAGTACTGTCTAAAGCCTCTAAATTGAGAAGAGTTAAATCCATCTGCAGAAAGAACTGTGGAAATGTTAACAAATTAGAAATAAATACATTGCTTGCATTTTTACATTGTTACTCTTTTCAGACTAGGTCCCTGCAAACAAGCAGAAGACAGAACTGTCAAGAGTGAGAACCATGCCCTTCAGCTCATCTCCTACTCACGGGAATAGTGCAGCTGTCAGAATCCCGAGATGCAAACTCCACGTTGCCCAAGTGAAGGATGCCAGCAAGGATTCGAAAAATTCCCATTTGGTAGGAATCACTAATCCCTGAAAAATGATGAATAAAACGTTTTGAATGGAGAGAGAAATAAAGAACCATGAGCTGCAGTTGATGAAAATTTTTATTAAGAAGAGAAAAACGGTGACAGCTGGGTGCTTTTTTCAGAGGCTTTGGCATTTGACACTACTGCTTGGCTCCTCTTCTATTAAAAACATTTTATGACCAGATGCAAAAAAAATCCATTAAAATGAACTATTTAATTTGCTGTTTCAAAGTGCTTTGTCAGTGACCTCCAACACTGTATATGCTACACCGAGGGAATCCATTTATGTTCATATGATGCCTCCTCCTCTTACACTAGATATGTGATTCCACTGCAATTTAAATACCTCCTTAATGCAGTAAAAGCATCTCAGTCTCAAAGTTTATCAAACTCTCCTGTTTTTAAACACAACAGAGTATGAAGAAAATATACACAAACAATGTAGAAAACATTTGCTAGTATATCGGATTTGGGATATGACTGTGTTTTACAAATTACCTAGCAAAGTGCAGGCCTGCCTGGTGTTTACCATTTCCTTAGCATCATCGACACCATCAATCACAGGGCTTCCACCTTGCTTCGTATAGTGAAAGTAATTTGCATTCCCTGTAAGAGAGGTAACACATCTTTTACACACACTGATGCACAAATTCACAGCACATCTGTAAAGCTGTGTAATGATTAAGTTGCTCCTGGCAGAATCCATGATCTGAAATATGCCAGTATATTTTTGCCTCCTGGCTCATAGGACCCGCTTATTCTGGAGGATATTTTTTTCAAGATTTAACAGTGCAAATAAGTATTCTTAAGCTACCTGGTTCCTACAATAGGCCCTCAAGCATATTCTTGGTTGAGACTTCCACACCTGTGGAATAATCACTTTGGAAGCAATTCTTCTCCAAGTCTGAGCCAACCACCCAAGTGGTAGTTGTAGAGGTGACAGTAGCAGCACTTTGGAATTATGTGGCAGATATTATTACGCTACTATTGTATTGGGATATTTAAAAAATTCTATTTTGCCCATTTTCTTCTTGTTTCTAATCTATGGTCTGGTTTATGAGTATCTGCAGTCCATTCTGGCTGAGAAGTCGTGGTTGGAGAACTGACAGCTTCATACCGCTCTGGGGAGAGTGCTGGGCTTCACTGGGAGAGCATTAGCTCTCCTTGGGTGCTGTGTAAACTCCTATGGTTTCAGTGGCCGTGCTTCCAGCTGCAGTAACAGACTCCTTTTCTTCTGATCTGCTAAGGTTTCAAGAATGCTGAAAGAGGAGTCTGCTAAATGGCTTTCTTTAGTTATAATTACAGCAGTTCCTTTCTTCCCTGTGTCAGCAGATGTGAATCCTAAATGTGCCAGGATGGTGCAGAAGAGCAGAGAAACACTTTAAAACCAGAACAGTATTTCAGAAATCAGCACTGGCAGGCTGTGCAGTTTTCCCACTACGAAGCTAACTTTTAAAAATATGCAAGAAGCACTGATATTTATATTGAATTTTGAAAAAGATGAGGTGATTGCCTGTCCCAAGGTCATCATCATGCCTTTCTTTTACGAAGTACCAGCTCCTGTTAAATGAGAAACCTTTCCCTTATCAACATTTTAATTTGAAAAATGAAAAAATTTCACTTATCAGTTTTGTGATCACCAGGTTAGCAGAGATGGTAAAGTAACTGTTGTAACAGCCCAAGTGAAAGTATGCGGATGCAAAATAAGCTTTTCAGGTGCTTACGCCAGAAGTGGTAAAACTCTCTAGTAGCTGGAGCCATGGAAAAAAGGTTTTAAAGGACCAAGAGAAGAGAATTTCACCCTCGCCACTGGAAAACTACTCTGGAATCGAGGACATACTAAGTCCTAGTGATTACAACTGCAGTGTACTAGAGTTTGCTGAATAAACAAATCTGTTGCTTTCATTTTATCCAAAAACCACCCAGTCTGAGATGTGTCATTTTTGTTATTTTCAATATATTTTGGTATTTGAAGGTTTAAAAGTTTAGAATTTAAAAGCCAGCAATTCTTTTGGTTCTACGGCTCAAAAAGCTCAGAGATGCTGCTTTGTACCTACAATTGCACAACACAACGAATGTGGATTTCATACCTAATCGTAGAGTTTTAAACTCAGGTAATGCTGCAGAGGCACAAAGTTGGTAAAATATGTGGTAATTTCTCTCCTCTTCTGCCTTTAAAAAGAAAGGAATTGATTATTTTTCACAACTTAACAAGCACCAGAAACATCCACGAGTAGAAAAGAATTACTATGTTTAATGCTTTCTGTAGCATTACATTAAGAACATGGAAGCCACATGGAAAAAGGAAAGATAAATCAGGATCTATCATTTCCTTCCTGATAAATTCAATCCATTTTCAACAGCAAGAAGCATGCAGACGTTTTCATTTAAAAAAAATGTATGATTTCACTTTTCAGAACTCTGGATTACTATTAAACATAGATCAGGATTCTATGGGTGGGTGAAATGATCATACTTAAAAGCTTTTCATTTTCCAAAAATAACTAATACCATTTGCCTCAGCATTTACAGTAAGCTGGCGAAGGGAGTAGCTTTCTTGCCAAGGCAAAGCTGGAATTTTAAAATGAAGGACAAACACAGCTCAAAAGGTTATGACTCATGACCAACACCACAATTCTGAGTCTAAGCACTCTAAATTTCATAACTTCAAAACAAAAAAAAAAGAAAAGAAAAGATGCTCTTCCAGCTAAACCACGTTCAAGAAGTCTCTCTCATTTTCAAAATATACAACAGTACTTCAAGTAACACCCTACGCAATGCAAACTAATTATTTGTTTTATATCTGTAGGCAGCCAGTCAAGGATCAGTCCATTTTTACTGAGCTCTAGACTATAAGGAAGGCAAAGATGGAGAGGAAGCGTGGGAGACAAAAAGGATGCAGATCGGTTCAAGTATGAAATGCCAAAATGAAGAGAGTTCAAGAAATGTGAAATTACATATTCTCATTTGCCTAAATAATGGCAATTAAGACTCATTTGTAATTTTTGGGATAGCAGTGGGTTTTAGCAAGAAATTGAAAGTGAACTGCGATGGCAGCTTTACAAACCACAACTTCTGGAGCATGAGAGGTTTCTGCTAGGTTTTGAAGCCCTATTTTATAATACTACAATAAGGACAAAATCCTATCTAGTATTGCACTGGAAGTATTTAGTGTTTAAATATACAGCCTTTTTAATACATATTTTACAACTACGAATAATGAAAGGTTGACTTGGTTTTCCTTTCCTCCCCCCTCCCCACACATGCTCTATTACAAATACACTATTACAGCCATCTCTTAGGAGAGATAACTAATATCAGCAAGCAATAGCTTTTTTTTTTTTTTAGCATAGTCATACGAATGTACAATAAGATTGCAACAGTATTACCTGAAACACCACTCTTGACTTTTCCAAGAGGTAAGTTCTCATGTTAGCACCAATGATTCGATACCTCTTATCAAAACCAATTTCAATGTATTTCCCAAAGCGACTGCTGTTGTCGTTCCTCGTAGTTTTGGCATTTCCAATAGACTGAAAAAAGGGAATATTATGAAGGTTAAATAGCTTTTAGAAATTATCAAATCATCTATGTGGCTCATGAACATTTAACAACGTTAATTTTGTCCTGGTTTCAAAACAATCAAGAATTTAATAAAGAACAATCTCTGCCTGGTCAGCAAGTTACATCAAAATATAGTTATTTCATTAACACAAGACTGGGAGCTGATCTTCCTAGCAATGGTTTCACTTCCACATAGCCTAATTTTCTAGCTAAAAATCCTTTCTTGCTCTCAGAAGTCTTTTAAAACAAATTAAAGAGCGTAACAGAATGTTCACATTCTTCTTCACAGATTTCTTCTAAGGACTTAATAAAACTATAATGGTTATTCCACACTGTATATATTAATTTATGTATGGGTACAGATAGACGTATAGAACTTGCAGCCTCTGTAAATCTACCTATCATAAACCCCTAGTCCAGCAAACAGCCCCTATGTTCTGTCTAGCTAACAGTTTATTATTATTTTTATTTATTTATATTATTATTATTATTATTATTATTATTATTATTACTCTACAATCAACTACATTTCCAAACTACTTCTGCAAACATACCATTGTAAAATATTTACTGTGTGCCTAAATATAATCTAAAAATTAACATGTACAGACTCACGTAATTTGCCTGAAACTGAATCACTTCCACAGCAGCTCGGTTACTGACCCAGAGTCTCCAGTGCTGCCCTATGTGCCTAACTGTCTTAGATTAACTCAATGCAGCTTCATACACAATAAACAATATTTAATGTATTTCCTCTATAGTACATGGTCTTGGAACGCCCAGGGCAAATGACGACTGTGGTTCCCGAACGGTCTTGGTGCACCTCTGCCTTACCTCATCAGCGTTTGAATTCACTGCAACAGGTACCAGCTGGATATATCAGAATTCAAGCCATGCAAATCACAACATGCTGAACTTCAAAGAGCCTTTTCTCTTCTCAGTTAGATCATGTTTTAGACATCATATAGCAATTCACCTTCCAAAAAAGTCCTAAAGATATCTCTGTATCAAAAGGAATGGCATTGGGAGTAATTCGGATACAGCGCACTGCCTTTTACCATATGCCACTGTGTTTATGCTGTCAAATACCTAACTCTGAAGTATACCATAACTGAAGACACGGAGTTGTATCAGTGTCCTAGTTTCCTGGTTCACATAGTCATCCATAGGAACCCTGTACTGAAATAAAACTTGGGAAAACCCAATGAGAGCAAACGGCAATGCTGAGTATTGGTATTCCAAATCTGTAAAAGGAAGGGCAGTGAATCAGTAAGGGCCATCCGGGCACAGCGCGGGAGCGGGGAGCAGGCTGTCACAAACCCCGCTGCAGCAGCAGCACGCCTGACCGAGCAGATGTCAGAGCGGGTATCAGATGAACAGTTGCTATGACGGATGTAAGAACAAATTGCATCTCCGCAGTTCTAAGAAACGCTGAATTCATTCGAACTGAACATACTCAAACTGCATTTCTCGTGTTTTAAAATTATTGCTACTGCGATATATTTTGTTGTTGTTCGTAGCAATATAATATTACAATATTTTCAAAAACTAATTATTACTTTGAAAAGTGTTACTTCTAAAATCAGTTAAGAACGTCTTTGGTATTACAAGATTGCTTATCAGAGTACATACTAATCTGTATAATTCACATAGTTACACAGGGTAACAAAGAATGAGAGGCAGGAAATTGCATTAAAGATGTGTTTTAAGACTTGACAATTTCTACATGTGCAATAGGAAAACTGTATATAGTTATTGACTACAAAACTAATTATTCAAAAATATTTGCTAGAAATGTATAGTGGTCACTTGCTATTACAGAGTATTTAGTAGGCAAAGATGATGTGAAAATCTGACACTAATGATGGTAGCTCATCAAATGCTGGCATTTAGGTTGTCCAAATACAAATTAAAAAATAAAATTACCTTCTGCTCCTAAGATTTTACAATCAACTCTGCAAATGAGGAGTTCCCTGTTTCTAAAATTAATTACTCATTTTATTCCTCATCTACATGGGTTAATTTGTGTTTCTGCTGATGTATCAAAATGTTAATTTTGCTATCCTAGAGTCTGTCTCAACAACAGATTTCAGAACGCTCACTCTAAAGCTTCTTTAAAGCTCAAGTGTTTGAAGTTAAAAGGGTAACTTTCATCCAGTCATAACAATGTTTAAAGTAATTGAAATTTTAGATATACACCTGCAAAATTGCCATTGCTCTCTAGGGCCCAGGCTGCTCCCCTGGCTTCCTCTGATAGCTGGATGTTTGGATCCCACAACAGCAGAGCCCACTGCTCATCATGGCACAGCTTGTTTTATCTCGTAAAACAGTTTAAAACCACCACACAGCACCACAAACCAGGCACAATTACCTTGTGATAGAACACAAACTGTGATGGGGCAGCTATAGTTTGAGTATCATGAACTCCTCACGCCAGGAGGAAAGAAGGAATAAAACATAGTTCATTTTTAAAAATACCTGAGAAAGAAAACAATGGCAGCATTTTGCATTTCACTGTGTGCACTCCATCTTCTCATGTCTATCCACTAATACTTCACCCTATTGCATAGAGCTGCTAAATGTTTACCAAGGCATCAGTTGTCCTAAGCATTTTCTTAGGCCGTCCATAGGCATGCGCATGTGCGTGGCTATGGACAGCGCTACTTCTCTCAAGGAATTCCCCCAAGACTGTTTCTCTCTGGTGACTCATTTCTTAACATAGTTCCTTAACTTCAACTACAACTTCAATCTACACAAAGGCAAAGACACAAAAAGCAAGCCAGATGAGCGTTAAGAAATGTTTTCAGCTTGGCCACAACATCAGAATTACAGCATCTCCTGAGGGTCCCGGAGAACAGAGATGCTGAAGCAGGAGGGAATGGTACATGTTACCTTACAGCCTACTGCCAGCACCTATGCTCCCAAGCCAATGGCTTTGGGACTTGACTAGTTAATTACACAGATTTCCAGAACTGAAACGTTAGTCTGAGGTAATTTCCCTCTGAAAGAAACTGTGTGCATCTCACGTAAGTTTGCTTTCTCAGCCTGTCTTCCTTAATCACATTTCTTAAAATGGAACATTTGCTTTACTCAACAACTCTCTTCACTTCAAAGTATAATCTACCTGCCCTCACTGCGTGATGTACACGTTGGGTGGGTAAGACCAGAATTTCTAATCCTCTTTGGAATTTTACACACAAAAAGAATCTTCTGCGCTGGCATTTGGCCAGTGGTCTGGGAACTATCAGTTTTACAAAGCCGAACAGATTTAAAGCAGCACTGATATAAAAATTACTTTGTTATGTGAAATATATTAACAATACTGAAACATTACCTCCAGTCTTCTCTCTCTCTTTCGTAAATACTAGACAAAACGATGCCTAAAGCACCTCCCAGTAAATGGATTAAAACCAAAATTTTAAAATGCCTTTATTCTAGGTTCTTTAATCCTTAAAAAAAAGTATGGATTGCTCCCTCTGTTAGCTTATGTTCACCCCAGAATAATAACTGTAGCTGGAGGGCAGGGCTTAGTGCAGCAGCTCTCTTACCTCCATGATGGGGTTGGAGGCCAAGACTTTCTCCTCAACATTGGCTTCACTGGCGGATCCACTGACCGTGGCAAAGTACCTCATGGCATACTTAGCAGAGACGGTCTTTCCGGCCCCGGATTCCCCGCTGACAATGATTGACTGATTTCGCTCATCTCTGAAACACAAAGATGGGTTAATTACCAGCTGTTCTCTCAAGGACACTTGTTTTTTGTGTCCCCAACTTGGCAACAACCCTTCCACCATAAATGTTAGCAGTACAGCAATAATGTAAATGCATGTGGCAGAAACAAGGCTGTTAGTGACCGAGCTGCCTGAATGGCTGACCAGACTGCCTGCGCCCGGGATCGATGCTGCCGCCGCAGTCCAGCCAGCCAGCCGAGCTGCTCCAGGGGACCTGGCTACAGCAGAGTACCCATTACCACTATTCACTACGTGCTTCTGCAGCTACTTCTATCCAGTGTCTCTGGTAAAGTGCTCCACTAAATTATCAGTGCTCATTAGTAAAGATCATTAATGCCATCTTACAGATAGAGAACCCAACAGCAGAGCCAGCAACAGAAACCTTTCGTCCTTCTGATCTAATCACCAGCTTTTCCCAGAATTGTTCTGAATCTGAAAAATTCAAGCAGGGCTGTTCAGGACACAAATAGCAGCTCTAGAGTGAAGACGATCCCTTTGTTGTAAAGTAATTTCTCATTTAAAAAAAATAATCTCCATTTGCTACTAAAGCAATTTTCCCTCATCTCAAAGAGGGCTCTATCCATAAACCCCAACTGTATGACTAATGAACACACTACGAAATAACAAGGATAGAAATTAGCATTTATATAGCCTGAATCTTTCAAAATAAAGACCATGCATACTTTATACAGTATTTTGTATTTCCAAAGCAAAAGAAGTTAAAATGAATGAGATTTCAAAATACTACTGTGACCTGGGTGAGCTTAACTCTAGTTTACATACTGGAAAGTAGAGAAAAAAGGAATAAAATTTTAACCCAAAGATTTTCAGAGCTGGGGCTGGAACACAGAAAGTATGACCAAGCCCCCAACCAGGCTGCACTGTGAATGAAATTCCGGGCACACGCATGTTCAGGCAGCACATATACAGCCCGCACAGCTTCCAAACACCCATGGAGGCCACCAGCAAATGCTATGCCGGGGAAGTGAAGAAACATGTACAGAAAAACTATTTGCGGTTTCTGCAAAAAACTGATGAAATTGTGAAGCTAAATTACAGATCACGTTGTTACTCTCAAGCTGTTACCTATCTTCAGAAACGTCCCCAAGCCCCCAGATGAGAGCACAACTCCAGCACCTACTTCGTGTTGCACAAAGACGCAGGCCAATGGAGCCACTGGCTGGGTCATGCACCGCTGGGAGAGCCAAGGTGGGATTCGTTTAACCGAATGAAGGCATGGGCTGAAGTGGGTTTTCCACATTTTGGTAAAAGGAAATTACTTTACATGGCTGGGTGCTGACTTAAATTTAATAGGAAAGCGTTAAGAAGATCAAAGCAACCTAATTTTATGTTCTCAACTTCCATTTAACACATGCGATAGGTGCGAATGACTACAGCACAGTTCACACATTCACATACACCAAGCTGCCAGTCTCAGTGGGAAAATTGTGGCAAAGCAGAACTGTTCGGCTTGATACCAGGTTGTGTGTAGTCCAGGTTACGTAGGCTGAACTGCCAGAGGTAATGAAACCACTTGCCTGTGAGACCTGTCCTTACAGCAGCCATCAAGCCTGCTGCACACGCTCCTGGGGGAGGTCTGTGGTGCCTGGGAGGGCTTGCGGTACCCATGAAGATTTCCAGTTGGGAAAGGACGATGAAACACTCTTGCTTCTTCCCCATTGCCCCCTTCCCTGAGTCTGCTGGCAATGCATGCAGGACAGCCTGCAGCTCTGCATGTCAGGAGGTGGTGCGAGTTGCATGGATGCTCACGTTCAACAAGAGCAGCAGAAGGACATGAGAGATGTCCAGCCAAAGACCTAACTGGGACAACCACTAACAAACAATTTTCCCCTCACACAGACAGTTCCTGCAGTGAGTCAAAAACAGAGAACAATTTCTCCGTAAGCCAGGCAGTGCTCTTTCTTTTATTCTGCCACTGCTCTCTCACATGGAAAAAACCTCAACCATACCATTATAAAATATGAAACTTCTGGTCTGACTTCAGGAGATGGGCAACGACATAACAAGCTTTTCATCTGTATTCATTCGATTCATTTGGTTGTAGATCACCAGCTCTGTTTCATGTATTAAGTATCATTAAATATATGAAGACTCATGAAGCTCAAGTCCTATGAAATGTATCCCCTGATGACTGAGCTTGTTTTTAGTTTAGTCCCCAAAGTACAGAAGGCTTTCAGAAAACAAAGTAACGCAACCTCAGTACTACAGACTTCTGACAAAACTGACAACAAAGACTGAACTCTGTTGCCAAGAGAGGAACATTGAAATAAAGGTGTCTCATTCTAACTCGCACCTCCCTGAAGGACATGTGGGTGAGCGTGGAAAGTGCACACTGGTTTTGCCATCCCTAGTCCCTCCTTGGGAGCTCAGGAGTGGCTGCAGAAGAGAGAGCTCCATGTTTTCAAAGACAGTAATGAAAAAACGAGATTGAAGTAATTTCTTCTTAAGAATACTGTTGCTGATTAGCCTAGAGCTTCCTTCCCCCACACCATAAGGTATGAAGATGTACCCTTCTCCTCAGCACTCATCCATGTGCTCAGGAATAAGGGATCCATTATTATATTACCGTGTAAGTACATATACACATACACTTTTCATAAATTCGCCTAGAGAAGATACGGCTGGCTCTGTGTGAGCTGCAAATGTTGCTGCCATGTCTTCTGCAATGAACATTTGTGCTTGCAGTAGCTACAGCAATCACGAGGAACAAAGGGCTCGCTCACTGTCTGCCGCGGAGTCCTCTCGCATCACCCTGCAGCGCTCCATCCACGCTCAGAGCCGCTCTTGTCCTCAGAAGTACATTAGTCCATTGTTTGGCTTTAACACACTGGAGCGACCATCCTCTAGCACATTATTCTTTCTGCTTTTTGGCAGAGAGAAAGGAAAACACAACAGAACAGCCAAGATCACACTCGACATTTGAAGGAGGAGAAAGGACAGCGTAACACAACCCCCCAAACGCAACAGCTGCGGGGGGTGAGCTGTTGTTGCCACAACCCCAGGGCAGACTTGGCATGCGGACGTCCTACCACAGGCAGCAAGATACTCAGTCTTCCAAAAAGGAGGGTGGGGAGGCCTGCCAGGCAGCCCCCTCAGCTGGGCAGAGGGCTCTTTGATGTCATTAAACTTTAAAGAAACAAAATGCCACATTGAAAAGAAAGTAACAAGTAAAATAGAATCAAAATACCTTGGACAGTGCATGAAATGTGGTGAGAATTATTTTTAATGGTAGGTATAAGCAATGGTCAGTCTGAACTATAGCCTCTGCTTATGCCAAATGAAATTTTCATAATCAGGCTACATTAAAAACAAAATGAAACAACAAAACCTCACAACAAAACAAAGGAAAAAATCCCCAGAAAACACAAGTAACACCACCCTGAGTTCTTTCTCAAGTATAAATAACACTTTTGGAGTTATTTTTAGCTAAATCATTAGCCCCCAGCCTTTGACCCAACATTTTGAGCACTTAACATGTCACCAGCCAGGAAAAAAGCTGTAATTAAAACTTTCGGCCAGTGAAGCAAGCAGGGCAACAGCATTACATGTGACACCACTTTGTAGCCTGATGCCACAACCCATTATCTATGCAATAATTCTTCATCTTCTTGGGGCTTCTTCTCTGAATAAAGCTCGTAATCAGACAATTTTAAAATTAAGATTACTTCTGAATGGAGGGAAGATTTTACTGTGCTTTTACAGAGCGAAATGAGGGAAAGCAAGCTGGGAGACAAGAAGGTGGGAAGAGTCCTCCTTCACCCAAAGGTGGGTGACTACCACACCCATGTGGTACAGAACTACACTACAGTGATACGATACTGAGCCATATTATCTTGAAAAGAGGTATTTAACCCCAGCAGACCGAAACAGATTGACTGGGAGCAGTTTGCCACTCATGGAAACACAAAGTTCAGGCATCGGTCAGGATCGCGTTCGGCTTTTGCCACTTCTGAACAATGCAGAAGAATAAAGGAATGACAAAATGAAAATAAAACTTCAGTTTTAAGATGATGGGCCCAAACATTTCACAAGCTGAGATGTGAAATGATAGGCTGAGACTGCTCGCAGCAGCAGGGGACTTGATTCAGAAATCTTCCATAACTGTTCCCTCAGGCCTACACTTTAAAAGTCACATGAGGGTAACAGCTGCTTCTTGTCAAATAAAAGAACCATAACACACTATGGTACAAATAACTGATAGTTTAAAATAGCGTTATCTATCACAAAAATAATGCCGATGTCCGATTTTGAAAGGTAATATTCAGATGCTGTATCCAAGCCATACACAACTCCACTCCTTACGACAAGTAATGGCCATAGAATGAGCAAAAAAATGTCACTAATTTTTTCCTATCATAATTCCAGTAAAGGACAGAAACAGATTTGTGCATAGGCTGGTAAATTGTAAAGACGATTTTGCTTTATCTACAAAATTCTGTCAACAGGCAATATGTTTATGAGGAAACTCACTGTCAGAGTGCCAAAACAGAAGAGATGTAGACTTACCTAACTCCTGGAAGCTTGAGATTACAACCTACATTCCAGCAGGGTTTTTTTAATGCTTGGAAAAAACATTGCAAAATTCAACACAAGCTGAAGTGTTCAAGATAGCTTCTGCTCAAAGGAGGTTCAGCACTGCCGGGGGGGAGGGGCGGGAGGAAGAAAAAGAGTGCTACAAACTGACTTAAGATATCTTACATGCAGAAAAGGGTTTTGCAGAATACGAATGAACTGACAATGCACAGGTAACCAGAAAGTGGTTTAAAAAAAAAAATCTTGTTTGCAAGATGTGGAAAAAACTCTTTGTTGAAGATGTGCATATATCTGAATGCAATACTTTTAATAGCATTGACTACTAATTTTCAATTCTGTATTTCAGAGAAACCTAAGGGAGATGCTTTCGGAAGGGCTCAGAATGGAGGAAACGCTACTCCCATCAGGTCACGGCTGTCA